AAAGATTTTGTACTCTGCAGGGATCTTGGGATCGTGTACAACCTCCCAACCCATTGAAAGAAAAAGCCCCAAAGGGCCCCTGAGTCTCATCTCAGGTTTTCCATTTGGCAATACCTTCCTAGACACACAATAAGTGCTCAATAAATACATGCTGGGGGAACAACCAGAGGGGAGATCCAAGAGGTGACAGGTACACCTGCCCTGGCCCTGCCCCCTCTGAGGTGGCTGTAAATACCTTCACTTGACACAGAAGTGGGTGCTTCTGACCACACCCTCATGGGGCAGGACATGTGGGTGCAAAGCCCAGCTCTAGGTGCAAGCAGGGCTACAACTGGCACCCCCCTTCTCTTGCCCCATCCTTCTGGGGAGTCACAATCTTCCTTCCAGAGCCACAGGTGCTCCCGCTGCTATCAACACAGGCACTCCCGCTCCAACAGAACAGCAGACAGCAACAAGGGGCATGGGACCAAGTAGTCCAAGAGGTCAGGGGCAGCTGAGCCAAAAAACTGTGGGACTCTTGGAGTTATCTAGGTTCCTGCCAGTTCTGCCACCCCGTGACCTTGCTGTTCCTCAGGGAGCATGCCAGTTCTTGGGGGTCACTCTGTGATGGCCTCACTAGCCTTTGTCTTGTTTAGGGACTTGTTTATTGTGGAAGGCCCATCTCCTTATCTGGATATTGGCTCCAGTGAGCAGCTTGGCCTCCTATTTACTGCTATCAAAGCAGTACTTGGAGCAGAGTCTGACACAAAGTACTCGATGAACACTTGTTGAGTGACTACAGTACACGCTCCCTTTGCTCTGTCCCTTGCCCGGGAGGAGTCCCTGTAAAGACCACAGCGTGGGCGGTACAGGGATGTCCGACCCTGAGCTGGGCCATGTTGAGAGGAGATTTCCAGACTCCAGGTGCTGGCCTCTGGTTGCTCATCACATCCTGGCTCCCTTGGGAGCTTGGTGACTTGGCCCATTTCCACACTGGCTCTGAAGACTCCCCTCTCCTCACCTCTCTTGGCTAGTCCCAGCGGCACCTACCTGAACTCCTCTTCAGAGGAGCAGCAGCCCCTCTACACCCTGGCCATGGGAAGTAATGGCAGAAGGCTTCCTGAAGAGAAGGAGACCACCAGAGCCTCCCCATTACCCAGGGGCCATGGCTTAGACAGCTGGGCAATGGCCAAGAGCTGCTCAGCCTATCTCAGAAGTTAAGGCCTGTGTCCATGTTCAAGGAGGGTGGGCACTCACTGGGGAGACTGAGTCATCCTCTGAGACTCTTGCTCAGTTGGCATCAGATCCAAGACACCAGCTAAATAGGCCCACTGATCACCTAACAGAGCTTGGGACAGTGCCTAGGGAAAGTGGCCAGAATGGAGGCAAGCAGAGGCGGTGGGGGACAGGGACATTTCATCTGCCTTGGGTGTTCAGCCACAGCCTTAGTCTGACCCAGCTTATTATTTCAGGTGCCTTCTCCACCCTGAGAAGTGGATCTTATGGCACCTCTCTGATCTGTGACCTCTGTCCCCTCACAGCAGGGCTGGGCTTCCCGGACAATCAGAGCAGGGCAAACAGAGGGGGCACAGCATCCCATTTCCTCTTCCTCCTGCATAGAGAAACCAAGTTGTCCTATTATTACTGCTTGCCAGGCATTGTCAGGCCTGCAGTATCTCCTGGAACCTAGAAACTACAAAGTGAGAAGGGCCTAATTGTCCCCATTTTATAGACCTCGAAAGCTGAAGTGTGGAGCAGTTAGAAAGCTGATTGTGAACCATGAACCCTGCCCAGGAGGTCCCCCTAGAACTCAGAATCCTTTGAGCTTGTAGTCTGAAAGACAAGCCTAAGGACCACTCCCACCAAACCCAAGTGGCAGCAAAAGAGTGTAAACTGGATGTATATGAGGATCCTAGGAACAAACATCTGAGTGAATGGAGAATACCTGAGAAAGTGGGTGTGGAGTTCACTTCCTTTTGGTTTCTTGCAGTCTGCCAGAAAGGCAGGCGAGCCGTGGCTTCCCTGGGGAAATTGGGATGAACAGGGAAGGGGGAGCCTAGTCCCCCACTCATTTAGAAAGATCTTAAAACCTACAATTGGGGACTGAACAGCAAAGAGAGACTTCAGGGGAGGGGAGAAGGAATTAGCAAAAAGAAAAAAAAGCCCACTGGCAAAGCGAAGAGGCTGGAGAGAAAGGCACGTGTGGATGAATTTTAATGCAATCAGAAAGCTGCCATAATGATAATAAAGGAATACACTCAGACGTCAGGAGAGGGAAGGCAAAGAGCTGCGTCCTGGCATTTAAATCAGGCTCTGTGGAGGAGATGCCTTCTCTCCCCTGCCTTCCTCTTTCCAAGGGACAAAATGGAATTTTTAAGGAGGAGGACTAGGGAATAGCAAGGGGCAAGTCCCTTGCCTTGTAGTTTTTCTGGAAATCCCTTTTAATCTGATCCTTTAAAATGCACCAAGGTTGGGGGGTGGGCACTGGTCTTTACCTCAGAGAAGTTTCAGTCCTCTACCGAAGAAATAAGAGACCTCTTTTCACTTCAAGCGAAATGATGCTCCTGTACCAGAAGGCAAGCCCGAGGGTCCCCTGCCGTTTCCTCTGTCTCTTTCCTTTCTTTCTGCCCATCTCCTCCTTGCTCTTTATCTCTAATTCTTTGTCCTCTGTCTCTTGCTTCCATCCTTCCCCATCTCTACTTCTAACTTCACCTCCTCCCATCCCATTTCACTTCACCCCTCCCAGTCACTTTCTTCCTTCCTCTTGGTTTCCTTGTCCCTGCTGTCCCCACCCCACAGCTTGGAGTTGGTGAGCCAGGGCCCAGAGCCCTAGAGATGGGGTGGGGTGTGCCTCAAAGTCCTACTGTGACATGGAGCCAGGACAGCAGCCCCCGCTGGGGTAGGTAGAGCTTTGGTAGAAGCCTAGCTATGGTAGAGCCCAGGCTGATGTTCCCTGACCCAGAACTGGTAACAAGAACTGACACTGCGCCCTGTGGGTTACTGGACGAGCAGGCACCCAGCACTATCTCACCACTGGGAATGTTCCCAGTGCTGAGTGCATCTGGAGTGAGGGGTCCCTGCAGGGCAGTTGTCAGGGGTCTCTGCAGAGGAGGACATGGGATGACTGGTTCTGGTTTGCTCAGACCCCAGAAGAGCCCCCAGCTCTAGGTGAACTCTCCTGGCAGTGAGAGCCTTCTCGGGGAGAAGGTACTGACTGCCCTGAGTACACAGGGACATCAGGGCCCTTGAACACCCGGGTGTTCAGAGGAAATCACAAATGCATAGCTAACCGTAGTTTGATGGGGAGTGATCTGCACCCAGAGCCTTGTCTGTGTGTCAGTCGTTTACTAGTCCACAGACATCTAGTGAGTCCCCGCTCACCAGTGGGGTCCCATTCCAGTTACTATGCTGCATATCAGTTTAACCCCAAACCAAGCCACGTAAAACAATTGTTTTTCATGCCCCCCGATTCTAAGGGTCAGGAATTGACAGCGCTCAGCATGGAAGGCCTGTCTCTGCTCCAGGACGTCTGGGCCTCTGTTGGAAGACTAGCGGCATGGGAGCTGAAGTTATCTGGGCAGTCACTTGCTCGCAGATTGGTGGCTGATGTTGGTCGTCAGCATCCGTGGACTCTGTGGGATCATTGTGGGTCTTCACAGCATGGTGACTGGTTTCCTCAGAGCAATATGCCCTTTTACATCCTAGCCTCAGAAGTCCCTGGGACCACTCCTACCATTCTTCATTTTCGAGAGCAGTCCCAGCAGAGGGGGAGAGGACACGGCGGGAAGAGCACATGGGACGGAGATGCTTCCGCAGTCATGTACGAGCTGCCACAGATGCACACAGCCCAATGAGAGCCCCCTCACCTGAGCACACAGATGAGTGGGGTCCACAAGCTAGTTGACAGTTGTCACACGAGTAGGGAGTCTGTGGAGGCATCTCCAGGAATAGGCTCCCCTACAGTGCTCAGAGCTGACTCTTACTGCACGTCCAGATGGAGGTAAAAGTGACACAGAGAGGTGTGCCCCTAGGAATGGCGTGGGCATGTCTCATTCAGTCAGTTCTTTCCATAACCGTGACGGCCTACTATGTGCCAGGAAGTGCTGCTGCAGCAGAGTCCTGCTCTCTTTCCCCAGCGAGCAGACCTGGGGTGCGGGGAGCAGAGACAGATCAACTGCACAGGCAAAGCAACTGTCCTTTGAAGCCCGGGGTATAGGGACGGAGCACTGAGGCAGAGAATACGGGAGAAGAAGCAGGAGGCTTTGGTGAGAAGGCAACATTTAAACTGAGACCTAGATGAGGAGATTTTAGCTTTGTGACGGGAGTGCCCTCCGAGCAGAGGGCACAGCGCAAGCAAAGACATTGCAGATGATTGGGGCCCCTGAGGAAGACAGCTGTGCGGAAGAGAAGAGAGGAAAGGAAAGCTGGACGGCAAAACGACCCCTCGTGGGCCCTAGGAGACGGCCAGATCAGCACCTGTGCTCCTGGTGTGCTGCCTGCCGCCTGGGCAGTAGGAGGCCAGGTCGCTGCCACGTGGCTCCCACTGCCCACCCACTGCTTACTTCACCGGCTCCTCTGCCTGCGTCCTCCCTCTCCTACCCCGCCACTCTCCGGACCCTTCGCCTCCAGCTCTCCTGACCCTGTTCCCGCACTTCTCTTGCTCCAAAACCCTCCAAGCTATACTCCAGCCTTTCCCTGCTGACCTTCCCACTCTGACTGCGAGCCCCGCCACGCCCCTCCCCCGCTGCCCTTCCCCCAGCTGTGAGCCCCGCCCCTCCCGCCTAGCTCCTCCCCTCCCTGCTGCCTGGTCTTCCCAGCTGTGAGCCCCGCCCCTCCGGCCGAGCTCCTCCCCCTCCCCGATGCCCCTCCTCCACAGCTGTGAGCCCCGCCCGTCCCGCCCTGCTCCTCCCTGTCCGGCTGCCCTCCTACCGCTTCGGCCCTGCCCTCCTCCCCCAGGCCTGTTCCCGCGCCGCCGCCCGGACCCTGGCCCGGGTAAGCATCTCCTAATTTTGTTCTAGAAGATAGAAAACTCTTCGTGGGTATGCTCAATAAGCAGCAGTCCGAGGACGACGTGCGCCGTCTCTTCGAGGCCTTCGGGAACATCGAGGAGTGCACTATCCTGCGCGGGCCGGACGGCAACAGCAAGGGTGCGTGGGCGACAGGGCGGGAGCCTCGGGCGCGCGCTGGGGAGGCCGAGACGACCCGAGTCCCGACTGCTGCGGAGGCTTTGGGTGCTGCAGGGTCTCGGAGTCTTTCTGCTGTGTCGCTGTATCTCTTGCTGTCTGTCGCACCCCTTCTCCTCTCACCTCTGACCCCTGCACTCCTCCCCACCTTGCGCGACCTCTCGGTCCCCGCCCTCTCTGGGCCCTCGGGACGTGGCTCAGCCTGTCCTGTCCCCGCAGGATGCGCCTTCGTGAAGTACTCCTCCCACGCCGAGGCGCAAGCCGCGATCAACGCTTTGCACGGCAGCCAGACCATGCCGGTGAGTGTAGCTCTCGGGTGGAGCTGGGCGGTGGCGACCAGTTCTCCCACCTTCCGAAGGAGACAGGAAAGGAATTTGTTTCTTAGACAAGGACACTGATGTTAAGGAATTGCCCGGAGGTCACCCACATAGAAAATGCCCACGGTGGGGTTGTGGCCTCATACGTCTGGGCTGGTACTGGATACCTATCCCTGTGGGTAGTGCTCTACAGAGTGCGGGTGGCCTAGGCCAGTGGCAGGACAGCTGGGGGGGCGGGCGGGGAGCCTTCGGCCAAGTGGGTCTCATGTGCCGCCCTGGCTGCAGGGAGCCTCATCCAGTCTGGTGGTCAAGTTTGCCGACACCGACAAGGAGCGCACGATGCGGCGAATGCAGCAGATGGCTGGCCAGATGGGCATGTTCAACCCCATGGCCATCCCCTTCGGGGCTTACGGCGCCTATGCTCAGGCAGTAAGTGGGGGCAGGGATGGGCGGTGGCTCTGGAGCTCACTCCCCAGGTCCCCAAAGAACAGGGACTCAACCATAACCGGAAATACCACTCTGCCGTCTGGAGTGAAGGGGACCAAACATAAGCCCAGGGAGTGAACACTCAGAAGGGGTTTGGGGAAGGCTGGTCCAGCCGGTGGTAGCTGCAGGCGGGAGTGGGCTGCTCTCCTGGTTCTTGAGGGTAGGAGCTGGCGAGAAGACCCCCAGCAGGGCAACAGTGCTCAGGGCTGCCCTGAGCACTGCTCCCCTTTTGGCACATCGGTCCTGAGCCCTAGGAAGCGCTGATGGGTTGTGGGAGGTTCAGATACTTGGTCCTCATCACCCACCCATGGCCCCACTCATGGAAGTGTGTCAGCAGGCCTTCCCGTCACTCCTGGTAGGGATCCTGCTAAGTGACCCAAAGCCCTCCACACCCATACTTTTCTGCAGTCCTCTCGGGTCCTGCCTCTAGCTCACCTTTCTTCCACAGTTGAGCCCACTCTGACAGTGTCTCCCTGAGCTAACTGCAGACTGGTAATCACAGTCCCCACATGGTAGCACTGAGATGTAGTATGGTTCTGGCTCTAAACATGCAAACTCACTTCATTTCCTCAGCAGCGTCCAGCTTTGGAGGCTTCTAACAGCCTCCCCTGTCCATCCTCACCTTGGTAAAGAACTAACAGTGCCAAGATGCTATTCATCATTCTCCTATCTCTTCCACCCAATAGACTCTATGACCATTTGGGGCAGAAGCCCATGCTGTTAATGCCACATAGGCTACTCATCATCTCCATAGCACTTTGGGTGTCACATCCCCACAAGTGGCAGCACTTACCCATAGAGCAAGTCTTCTTCCCTCATCCCCCAGAATATCAGCGCCCAAAGACCCTACTAATACTCTTGAATGCAGACATCTCCCAGGAAGGTGGCCCCTGATGACCAAAGAGGACTGAGGGTGGCATCAGGACTCGGGGTGGCAGCCAAGGGACTATCCAGGCTCCCTGGGGCTCAGGCCCTGGGAAGTCATTTCCAGGAGCTGAGCCCTCTGGTTGGGAGGGATGCCTCCTGGAAGCATGTGATATTTTTTCCACTCCCTCTGCCCCAGCTGATGCAGCAGCAAGCGGCCCTCATGGCATCAGTTGCACAGGGAGGCTACCTGAACCCCATGGCTGCCTTCGCTGCCGCCCAGATGCAGCAGATGGCGGCCCTCAACATGAACGGCCTGGCGGCTGCACCTATGACCCCAACCTCAGGTGAGACAGAAGATGCCACTGCAGGCCAGGCCTGGGGTGGGGCTTAATCTCAGCTACCAGTGGATCATCTTGAGGCAAGAACACATGGTGTTGGCACCCAAGAGGCCTTGTCCCACTTGGCAGTTTGTCTCAAAATGTTCTAATTTTGTGTGACCCCAGGAGAGATATGATGTGATATCATTCTGTGCATGATAGGATTCATGGTGGTGAACATTTCTCTCAAGTTGTTTATCCATGGATTGTTAGGAGACAATCCATCTTGTTCTGTTAACAGTAACTTTCTGGAAGGAAATTGACATGACAATCTCTTCCTTCAAACTCTGAGGGAGAAGAGTCCTGCTCATTCAGTGGCCTTGTTCAGTCCCAGCCCTGTAGGAGCCCCATTTTCATTTCTCTTCAAGCTAACCTAGATTCGCTGGCCTTTTCCAAGACAACTGGATAAGCAGCTGGAGAAGACCACAAGAGTTATCTCGATAGGCAGGGGTTAGGAGCAACCTAATCACAAAGTATGCTTTTGATTGGCTCTCAGGTATTGTCCAGTCCACGATTCTCAACCAGTGCATTTTGTTCCCCACTCCTAGGACATCTGACATTGTCCAGACTTATTTTTGCTTGTCACAGCTGGGAGGGGGAAGTGCTACTATAATCCAGTGGTAGAAGACAAGGATATTGCTATTCATCTTACAATGCGTGTCACAGTTCCTCAAAACAAGGAAATATCTGGCCCCAAATGACCTAGTGTTAAAGCTGAGGAAACCTGCTTTAGTCCCAAGGGCTGATCCGACACCCCAGACTGTCATTCACCAAGCGTTCTTGGTTCTGTGTGCCCAGACTGTACCATCAAACTTCTTGACATCCAGGAGCTGTTCCTTTCTCAGCTAAAAGCCAGGAAGCCCTGTGCCATCTCTGGGCCCAGCTTGAGCACTACCACATCCCTTTGTTCTGGTCTCCAACCTCAAGGCCACTCTCAAGCCTGGCCTGTGGGCCAGCGTTGAGGGCTTGTTCTCAGGGGGACCTGGCTTTTTACATGAAGAGGAAGGTGCTTTCCAGCCTCTGGGGCTACAGTGCAATCTCCATACCATCCACATCTTGTGTTCTGCCACCTAGAATAGGTAAAACACAGTTGTCATCTGGCCCCAACTTTACTCTCACCACAATGACTATGCCACTCATGCTTAATTGCAGCAGGCTTAGGTGTCTAGTTTGTGTGTGGAATAGGAATGACACTGTGTTGTGCAGTGACCTCCTTCCCTTAGTCCAAGGGAACCTTCTGTATCTGAGCAGCAAAAAATTCTTAAGGAAGCAAATCAGCTCTTCATGGGCCAAAGAAGGACCAGCAAGTCCTGACTTAGCTGGAGTGAGCTAAAGCCATGAAAATGAATGAAGGAGGGCTAAGTGTGGATAAGATCAAGAGCATTGGGAATAGTCTGTGTGCTGTAGGTTCAAGGACAAGTCATCAGTGGTCAGAGAAGTCTTTATAGTGTAAGTGGAACCTGGACTCTGCCCTGGGAAGATAAATTCAATATAGATGGGCCAAGCCAGCCCATACAGAAAGATAAGCCAAGGTATAGTTCATAGTTAAGACTGAGATGGTGGGTGAGATCCAAGTCCATCCCGGGCCCTTGGAGCTAATATGGTGAAGCTCAATGGTTTGGCTTTCTCACCTTTTTTCTGCTTGTCTCCCCTTTTCTCCAACCCCTCTGTGTCCTTAAAACCAGGTGGCAGCACCCCTCCAGGCATCACTGCACCAGCCGTGCCTAGCATCCCATCCCCCATTGGGGTGAACGGCTTCACTGGCCTCCCCCCACAGGCCAATGGGCAACCCGCTGCAGAAGCTGTATTTGCCAATGGCATCCACCCCTACCCAGGTAAGCACATCTGGTAGACCTTCCTTCCTCATGCAGCACACTTTTGAATTCTGTCCCTGCACTTGCTGTTATAACAAGGAATGTGTGGCTACTGCCCTCTGTCTGTTCTTTGGTGAAACCCTACATGTGTCAAGGAGGGCTTGCCACCTGCCTTGCTTCAGGAAACCTGCGGTAGGACAGAAGAGACCAAAATTCTACCTTTAAGGAGAGTTGAGAAGGGTTCCCTTTGAGAAGAAGTGACACTAGACACACTTGCACAACTAGGAAGAGAGGCTAGTAATAATAAATTAATTGTGTGTAAATTTGAGCTATAAGAATTAAGGTGATAGAAACTAAAAGAAGAATATGATTTAGTGTTAAGTAGGAAAAGTCTCACTGAAGAAGGAAGTAGAGGTGTAATGATTGGCAGTCTAGCTAGTACATATGGGCCCAGTCCCCTAGTGCACCCAAATCCCTGGTCAGCACGTTGGACAGCATCCCAGTACCTCGGACAGCGCCCAGGGCCTGCAGTTTATGAAGCGTACCACCCTGGAAGATCCAGATTCGTTACAGTAAACTTTGCTGCTCTCACTCAGCAGCTCTCAGGAGAGACCTGAAGCTGCTCCTCTCTCAGCCAGAGGATGGACTGATATAGGGGATGGAAGCTGGGCCCAGAGCCCTTGACTAGCAAGAGGCAGTGTAATATGGATATGAGGAATGCTTGGAGGGCAGAGAACGAGGTTATAGGTTCACATAAGCATTAGTTGAAAGAAGGGCCCTAGAAAGAAAGCAGAACATGAGGTCTGATTCCAGCTAAAAACATATCTAGCTACAGAATGATGAGACAATAAAGCAAAACAAAGTTTGGTCAGGAGTGAGCGCTCTTGGCCAGACATGGTGGTGTATATCTGTAATCCTGGCACCTTGAGAGTCTAAGGCAGGAAGATCAAAAATTCAGGCCCATCTTTGGCAATGTAGTGAGGCCTTGTCTCAAAATTTTTTTAAAAAAAATTTAAAAATGGGCTGGGGATGTAGCTCAGTGTGAAGGCCCCGTGTTCATTGCCTAGTATGAAAAATAAAACGAGTGTTTTTCAGACTTAAGATGCCAAAAGTTTCAAATGAGGGGAGAGCTCCATAGGCTAAAGAAGCTTCACTGAGCCTCTCTGAAGAGGAGGCTTAGAGCAGACTTTACCAGATGGGCAGGAAATGGAGCGATGAGGATGAATAAGGAGCACACTCCTGGGTCAGGGGTTATCCTGGAGGATGAGGACATCATGCTTCACACTCTGAGTGCCCATAGAATCCACTGTGAGGCTTGATAAAACCACGGAAGGTCAGAGATTCTAATTTTATTGTTTGGCACAGCCCAGACATCAGTAGTATATAAAAGTGCCTCCAGCAGCATGTGCAAGGTCCCTGTGCTAGAGGGAAATAAAGAAGGGGCCCAAACATGGACTTGTTCTTGACCCCAATCTCGTGCTTGCCTCAGTGCAACTCTCAGTCCACATAAAAGCAACCAGAGGGGTCTAAGAGGTGATGTGCTGGGCTCAAAGGATCTGGAGTGCTGTTTAAAAGGGAAGACCCCAAGCTGATAGAGGCAGCAAGTGAGGGACCTAGCAAGCTGGAAGTATAAATGATCCACTGATCTCGGCCCATGGGTTTGAGTGATGCCCCCCCCCCCCAGCACATCTGGGTAGCTTCGTTCTCCTCTCCTCCCTGCCTTCAAGCCCATCTGGATCTCTGGATCCTGACAAACCTGTTCTTTCCCTGCCCCCACCAGCATCTGTGAGCTATTTCCCTCGTGGAATTTGGAAATGTTTCTTTCCCCCATTTGTAACAATCTGCCACATCCCATAAACAATTCCCTGCCAGAGCAAAAGGGAGGGATGGAGGGAAGGAAAGGAGAAAAGTAGTACATTAAAAAAATTAATTTACCATCTTTAAATGCGGGGTTTGGAGCTGCCTTAATGAGCGAGATCCTTCAAAATGTTCACTCTTTGGCAGTTACTAATGAGGTCGTTAAGCAAAGAAGTAGAGAGGGTCCCGTGAATGCTTTTCTCCACTTCCTGCTCCCAAATAGCTTCTCCTTTCTTGCCTTTTGCTTGTTGAGAGCCTGTTGGAAGCACACAGTGTGGCCTCTATTATCACATTACACCCCTGAAATCGTGTCTTTCACAAACATGGGAGACTGTTCATTCATTCCTTCAGTCCCCTATTTGCTGGGCACTTACCCTGTGCTGGAGCTGCCGTGCTGCTCTGAGCAAGGGGCATCTTTTCTAATTTTCATAATGGCACTATGTGGGTGAGGAAGAAAAGCCAGACACGGTTGTCCCTCCAGAGAGCTCAGAGACTGACAGAGTAGACCAGCAGAGGGAACAGAAGGCAGAAAGACATCACTGCCAGGCATGCCACAGTGGGGAGCGCTAGGATCCAGTCTGGGGGTGTAAGGTCAGGGTACTGGCCTGGCACAGCCCCAGGCAGGAAAGTGCCTGCTTTTGCCGTATCTTCAGTTCTCTCTTCCTGAGCACAGTCCCTGTGGGCCAGCTCCCTTGCAGTGTCCTGGCTCCTAGCAGGTGTCAAACCTGTCACCCAGTATCTCTAGGGACTTCTGCTCCTGACTTCCCAACTCCCTGGACTTCCCTGAGGTCTAAGGACTATTTCCTAATGGAACTTTATCAACAACTTATAGACAAGAGCTCAAAAACAAAGTTGGGAATTCTTCCTGGCCCCAAGTCCCCAAATCCTAGCATAGCCAGTTAATTTGACTGGCCCGGGTCAACAGGCAGATGAGCCCTAGGGGTTGACTTCCTGCCAGCCTGTGTTACCTAGTTTGCCCAGACATACCGGCACTGGGTCCTCATAGGTGAACCTCTGTCACCACCTGCCTCCACGAGCTTCCAAGGCCAGCCTACTCCTGTGTCTGTCATCACTGACCTTGGCCACCAAAGACTGTGCCCAATGCTGGTCCATGCTTCAAGCTTTTTTGTCCCTACCTACTCAGAGCACAAAAGCTACAGAGGAGAATTAAGCCTTCCCCGCCCCCCGGCCGGCTTCCTCAAGTTTCTTGCCATACTTTGAGCTCTAGGATCCTTTCCTCGTGCTGGACGGTACACACCCCAGAACCATCAGTCAGAAGTTGGGGAAGAGCCTTGGCCTCTGGCTCCTCTGTTTCTGTGAACAGCACACTTCTCCCCACCTGCCTGTCAGCCCAGTTCCTGATGGGAGAGTCCCCAGCAAGGCTGTGCCTTAGACAACTCCCTAGAATGAGGGATGAGTCCTCTGGGAAGGAGTGGGACAGCGTGGTGGGGTGAAGCCTCCTGCGGCCTTTCTTTCACCTGGATGGGATCTGCCAGGCTTTCCCCCGACTCCCTGCTCCTGACCATTACTGAGGATCAGTGAGGACGAGCCTCCCTCCTGACAGCCTCCAGCCCAGGGCTGGGCCCCTCACCCAGGCCCTTGTGGTGGAGCCTTGCTCTGCATCTCCTGCCCAGTCTTCACAGTCTTCTGCGTGAACCCCATCTCCCTTACCCAGGCCAGCTATGTCCTGTGTCCCCCGGCTAAGACAGCACCCCACCACCTTACAAGGGCCCTGGGCCAGAAGGATGACCTCCCAGAGGACCCAGCACTCAGGGTCCCGGTCTCGATGCTCTGCCTGCAGTGGTTGGAAAGAGAAGTGTAGCTATAATGTTGATGTGTGGCGGGGAGATGGTATATTGGGCGGGCACCACTGACCTCTGCCCCTTGGCTCCCCGCAGCACAGAGCCCCACCGCCGCGGACCCCCTGCAGCAGGCCTACGCCGGAGTGCAGCAGTATGCAGGTCGTTAGTATCCTTGCGTCCCCTCGGCTCTTTCCCTGGCTGCGTTCATCTCTCTGTGCCCTTGGCACCAGTACCCCCTTTTCACCCCAGACCTGGGCCCAGTGCTGCATGGGGTGGGAAGGGGGAGTGGCAGTGGTCTCAGTGAAAGGAGGGAGGGCTGTGTTGGCGGAGACACTCCCATCCACTCCTCACACCCATCCCTGTCTGGGCTGTGTCCCTCTTTCAGGTCCCTTGGCATTTAGGGCAGAGTTTTCCCGGCATGGCAGGGTGGTGGTGGTTGGGCAGAACTGGAAAGCCAGGCTGAAGCGTTGTCCTTGCTGTACAGTGACTTGTCTCGGGGCCCTGATTTCCCTTTTCCCTGGTACTTCTAGGGTGAGTCTGCCTAGGAGCCCCAAGCTGTACAGCAGCACCGGGGCTTGGCTGGCCCTGGAATCCTGGCCCAGGAAGCACAGATGCCTGGGTTAGAGAAGAGGGTTTTCTGGAAGGGAAGCAGCTTCCACCAGCTTATCCAGCCAAGGAAACATGACAGGAAGCCAGAAGGAGAAGCAGCCCATGGTAGTAAAAATGGAGAGATGAGAAAAGACAGCCTGGGGCCAGCAGACGGCCTGTGGTCATTGAGCTCAGCCATCAGCCAAGCTTGTCCCTTTCTCCCATGCCTGGGCTGGGCAGTGCACCGCATTCATCCCCAGCCAGCTTGTGCCCTGTTGTCTGACTGGTCAGGATTCCTCTTCACTGTCTTCAGAGAGTTAATCCTGTCTCTCCAGAGGGTGATGAGGCTTCCAAGGTAGGACTCAGGGGATGCTGGCTTTGCTGCTCTGGAGCCCCTGGGAAGCTCTCTCTCAGGTCCTGCTGGTATTGGAGCCAGGCCAGTCTGCAGAGGGAGCTGGATATTCCTGTCCTAGCTCTGAATATTCCCAACCAAGTGCAGGAAACACCAGATGTCCTACTCAGTCCTCTGCCCCAGGGTCTTAGCCCTGGCAGGCTCCCCAAAGGCAAGTCCACACTTCAGCGGCTCCTCACCTCCCACTGCCATCTGAGTAGCAGTGAAGGAGGTAAATCACGACTGTCTGCTGTCCCAGATTAAGCTGGCCTGTTCCCCCACATACACACATGAACCCCCACTTCCACGCGTGCACACACCCACATATGCTTGCATGCACAAACACATGCTTTGACGCACACGTGCAGGTTTCTGATCTTTACACTGTCGCTTCCCTTTCACAAGTACTGAAAAGGGAAAGTCCCTTTCTCCAAAGTGGCCAAGGTGACATGCACCTATAGTTGGCCAGTCTTCTGTGTCCAACACTGAAATCTCTCTTTCTTCCTGCCTCTCACCATGTCGGTCTGTCTCTGCGTCCTGTGCTGCTTTGCCTCTCCTCTCTGTGGCCCTCCAGCAGCTGCCTACCCTGCTGCCTATGGTCAGATAAGCCAGGCCTTTCCTCAGCCACCGCCAATGATTCCCCAGCAACAGAGAGAAGGTGAGTCTCACCTCGGCCCTCCCCTATGCCCAAGAGGCTATTACCTGCACCTCTGGCTTCACCTGGGTCTCTGGCTTGGGCTTTGGTTGGAAAGGCGGCCACATCTACATGTGTGTATGTTTGGCAGTGGGTGGGGGAACAGAGCAGGATTGTGAGTTGTGGCACTGTCCTGCTCTCCTACCCACAAATGGAGACAAGCAACTTGTGGGAAGCTCCACAGACCACAGTGGCGTCCTGGCCCAGAGGTAGGGGAATGGACACATGGCCCTGAAGGTGCTGGAAAGTCACACACCTTTCCCGCTCCCCTCCATCGTTTGCCACTGCTCTGACACAGCTCACAAACTGATGTCTTGGTCTTTAAAAAGTCCTCAAGAATGGTTGGGGTTATGTTCCTTCCCTAGCAAGCCCTTGAGCTAACCCTTAGAGAGAAGCTAGCTGAGTTAGGTGTGTGTCTTTCAATGGAGGGTTTGCCCTTGCCCAAGGAGTTGCCAGCTTTATACAGGAGATGAGGTCATCCTTCGAGTCTTTTTCTGGGGTCCTACCTGTGTGTTCCCAAGGAGCTGAGAGCATTAGCTGGGTGGGAGCTGACACTCCAACAATGCAGTGGCTTTTGCAGCACCAGCTCTTATAGCTTTGGGCTTTGGGAAGGGAAAGGTGAACAGCCTGAGGTGGTCAGGAAAATGAGGCCTTGCAGGAGCTGGACAGGATTGTCCAGAGGGGAGGAGAGGGAGAAGTAAGTGAGTACTCATGGCTGGGGAAGCAGGTAAAGGGGTTAGTTCTGGACAGGAGTTGTCATGCCCTCTGGGCGACCAGCACACACACTGAAGCTCCCAGTAGGACTCCAGTGGCAGGACTAGGATGAGAGTGGCACAGTGCAGGTCTAGTGAAGGGGGAGCAGAGGAGAGGTTGTCCTGGAAAGCTACATCCAAAGGTCCTGGTATGAACTGAGCAGAGCAGGGAAGATCCACTGGTGTGGTGGCAGGGAGTTCCAGTGGTCTTCAGATGCCTGGCTCATGGCCCCTGTAAGCAGACTGACCTGGAGCCCTGGAATGTAGGGCACTCGGAAAGGACCTTGGTCATCTGCTAGTCCCAGCCCCTTTGATGTGCTAGGCCCCTGACAGGCTGAGCAGCTGAGAGCCTAAGCTTTGAAGCAACCTTCTGGACCTGACTTCCAGCTTTGTCACCTCTTCTCCATGAGACCCTGGACAGACCACCTTACCTCCTCAGCCTTGGTGTCCTGTCCAGGAAACTAAGAACCATGAACACCTCTCCTTTCCTGGAGAGGTGTAAGGGTCAAACTTGCTCAGTTTCCCCCTAAAGTGCAAGCATCTGATCTACACACAGCCCTCTTCTACCAGATTATCATCTCCTCCAAAGCTGTTCATGAGGCGTGCTACTCCAGCTCACATCCATTAGGAAGCTCCTGAGACCTGTGTCATCAGATCTTCCCATGCCCAGGAGGCCCAGCTGCAAGAGCCTAGAGAGGCACGTAGAGAGTGCCTGTCCACGTTATGCCCTGCTGCAGCTGAGTAGCACCTGGTTTCCCCATCAAGATGCAAAGTGGATGGGAGGTAGTCCATCAACCCTCCTTCTCCAGGGGTCCCTTACCTGGGTGAGAGCCTGGGCCTGGGACTTCTCCCAGTCCAAACATTCATTAGTCAGATCAGAGGCACAGGTGGTGGCCTAAGGGTCCCAGTGAAGGCCTAGAGCAGAGAACTAAGAACTGTGCCCACAGGCCCTCCTACTGCCAGTGTCATCCCATTGGCTTCTGGCCTATGTTTCTGTAGCCTGTGGGCTTATGAGTCTCTATAACCTTCTACACACACACACACACACACACACACACACACACACACACACCCTGCTCCCCGGACCAGCCCTGTGGACCACTCCCTACTCTCCTCAGGTCAAGGGATCTCCCTGGTTGCCCTCTTTGCTCCTTGGCCATCATGCACAGGCTGAGCTCCCCAAGGAGCAGCAGATAGGGAGAGGTAGGGCTTGACACCAAGCATGCTTCATCTACATGTGGGTCATGGTGCAGAGTGGGTTTCTGGGGAAGGCTGAGCTAGCCTGGAAAAAGGAGGTGGTCTCCAGCACCTAGAGGGGAATGTGGGTGTTCCAGGCAGGGGACAGCAGGCGCAAAGAATGCTACCGAGCATGAGTGAGTCTGGGGCAAGAAAGCCAGGCACAGAAAGGTGGGTTGGAGTCAGACCAAAGCCGTACTCCACTGTTGTGTGGAGACTAGCTGAAGAAGAGCTGTGTTCCCATGGCCCTGCTGGGAGCCGGCCTTTTCCCTGTGGAATGCCACCAAATACCAGAGCACACCAGTTGCTGGGAAGAGCCCTCTAGCCAGCTTCTTGTCTTTGAGCTGAGCCTGAAAACTAACAGGTTTCTGAATGTGTTTGAGGTCTTCTGCTCCACAGAGAGGAAAATTGTCACCCTTAGGAATAGCTCTGGCTGGGACTGCCAGAGGCTGCAGTGTGGCCAGGGGTAGCCACTTTTTATCTCTGAAGCTTGTGTCACTGCTTCTCTGGGTTGGACCAGATTGCTGTAATGTTCCGCCAGTCCTCTGGCTGTTCGGTAATGTGGGAATGAAGGACTGCAGGAAGAGCCTGGGCTGCAGGCTCATTGGTGGGAGTGGGGCTAGAGCTGCTGTCCCGACTCCCCAGTCAGGCCAGGGATGGAGGGTTGTCCTTGGTAGCTCATCTTTACTCCGTGTATATAGGACTGAGCTTATGGCCCCATCTCACAAGGCTCCTTGTCTCTTTAAGGGAACAGATATAACATCCTCAAGAAGCAGTTTGCAAAACTTGAACATGGAGCAGAGGCCCCAAGTTCAAGGCAGGTGTCAGCATGGGGTGAAGCCATCATCAGGGAAGCCCCGAGAGGCAGGTGGGAAGGCATGTGCTGGGCCAGAGGTGGAGGGGGCAGGAGGATAGGAGGAGGCAAATGCCCCTGGCCTAGGCAGTGTCCAGTCTCCACAACCTCCCAGATGTGGAGAAAGGGCCCCAAGCCAGACAGGGTGGAAGATGGACTTGGGGCACCAGAAGGGGAGGCAAGAGGTACTGTCAGGGAGAGATGGTGGCTGATCTTGGAGAGCTGTGACTTAGATTGGGACTCAAAGCAGGTTCCTGCCTCAGAGAGGCTCCCGTCTAGCTGGAGACATTCAGGTACATTCACACAGCATGCACCAGACAGAACATGGCACAGATGCAGCTTACAGGGCCAGGGGAGGGAGGGACCCTCAAGGTTGGTGAGGGAGCGCCCTCGCGCCCGGTTCTGGATGCGCCGTCCACTGGCAGAGTGCCTTCGCGGGGGCTTGGGGAGGTGATCCAGGGACCCAGGGAGGTCAGTGCTCAGTTGGGTGGCTTTGGTGGGCAGGGGGAGTCTTTGATATAGGCTGTGGCCCTCAAGGGGGCGGAAGTAGATGGAGGGAGGAAGGAGGAGGTGGGAGGGGATAGGAGAGAAAGAAGAAAAGGGACAGAGAGAATACAGAGGAAGTTCTCTGCCCCAGAACTGGGTTACCTGGCAGCCTCGCTGGTCCCAGCAAACCAGGACATTTGATCTGGCTGTGAAAGCTGCACAGTGGGCCATGTTGGTGCCTTACAGCCTGCACTTTTGAGCCCAGGCTTAGGTTTCCTTTGGCCTCTGATTAGAACCCCAATTCTTACACAAATCTAAGTGCAGCTGTTTGCTTCTCATCCCACCGGAGGTTGGATACCATCACTGAAATGGTCACAGGTCTCTTCAAAAGGTTGAGTGATACATGGCAGATGCTCTTTAAGGTGGCAGAAATAGACCACACATCCTGTAAGATTTCCATTTCAGAGTTAAGTTGAGCATTTTCACCATTGAAAAAGGGATATGTGAATCTTTTTCTGGAAATTCCAGAAACCTGGAGACCTCCCCAGTACTGACTGGGAGTGGGGTGAGAGTTACAATAAGAAGAGAAAGGAGACATATTATGGAGGCCGCAGCCTAAATTCATGTCTTGGCTTCATCCCCTCACCATCACCAGCTTTGCGTCTTTCAGCAGTTCCCCCCTCTGTGAGGTGACGGCAGTGTAGTTAAGTCACAGTGTTGCCGTAGGGATGGAGGGACTCACACACGCACATAGGGCACAGAACAGCCCGGCACAGGTGCACACTCTAGAAGTGGCAGGGCTGTTACTGTCGCAGGAAGTGAAGACCTCTCCATGCAGTGAGGTTCCAGGGTGCCCTAGCTAGTCACGCAGCCCGCTAGAGGAGGTGGGGTACATCTTGCTTCTGCCTTCACTAGCAAGTGAAGGTGAGGTACAGGACAGGGCAGTTGGGAGGTGATTGGGAGCCTGTCTGAGCTGGGCTTTCAGAGGCTTTAGAAAGGCGAGTCTCAGCACAGGGCAGGGCTGTCCCAGGGCCGTTCCTTCTGCCTTCCCCAGGACAGAGGCTGGGCAGGAGGGGTCCTCAAATCTCCCTCTCCTCCCTCTCCTCAGGACCCATTTCCAGGGACACAGTTTACCAGGCTTTGGTATGTTCACCTCATTCTCTCATCAGCTTCACCCCTGGAGCCCCAAAGTTGCCAAGTTCCCCATCATTAATCCATTTTGCAGAAAAGGCAAGTGAGGCAGAGAGGTCAGAAACTTGCCCAAGGGCAAAGCAGAGATGACAGTTTAGACTTGGGGCTCAGCAACCCCCACTCTTCAGGGTGACCCTTGGATCTTAATAAACCCCCCCCTCCTAACCTCACCCCATCCCTCCCTGCTGCGCTGCCTAACTCGCTCACCTCTCCTCTGTCTCTCTCTTTCCCCACCCTGCCATCCCTCCTCCCTGCCCACCCCCTCCCCTCACCGCAGGGCCCGAGGGCTGTAACCTGTTCATCTACCATCTGCCCCAGGAGTTTGGGGACGCTGAGCTGATGCAGATGTTCCTCCCTTTCGGTAATGTCATCTCCTCGAAAGTGTTTGTGGATCGGGCGACTAACCAAAGTAAATGCTTTGGTGGGTAAAGATAACAAACCAATTAGCTTCACCTAGGACAGGGGCCACTCGCACCAATTTACCAGTGTCCAACTGCTTCCACCTGCTCCTCACATGGCCCCTAAGTGCTCCCTGGCCCAGCGTCCATCTCTCAGCCCTCCTCTCTCTTCTGCTATTCTTTTTGCTTTTCAGCTTCCCCTGCCCCTTCTCCCCAACCTGGCTCCCACCTCCCATGTATCAGCCCAAGAGGTGGGTTTCCTCTTCCAGCCAAGAGGCCCCGCTCCACCCAGCTGAGAAACGGAAGGGGCATTTGGGCAGGGGTGGAAGGAGCAGTGCAGAACCAGAGCATCCATCCTTCCAGCAGCCTTTCCTCCCATGGTCCTAGTGGCCAGCCCAACCCTCGGGTAAAGCCCAGCATGAACCTTGGGGGAAAGCCAGCCCCAGGCCCTACCCCGCCTCCTCTCAGCTGCTCTGTCCACCTCTCTGTCCTGCCACCCCTCTCTGTCTGCCCTGCTCCTTGCTCCCCTCCTACCATGCAGTGACTCCCCTCCCGCCCACCCCCCAGGCCCCCAGAGCTGGGCATTGTTGAGGAGCCAGGAGGAGACTGACTGGTCCCTGCCCTCAGGAAGCCTAAGCTCTGAGCCCAGATGGAAATCACAGCTACTGAACTGCAGTGAGCTCTGCGAGGCACCAAGCAATGAAGCCGTCAGGAAGGCAGAGGAAAGACAGACTGGGCAGAGGTGCGGGGCTGGGATGGGGAGAGGTGAAGGACAGGGAGCGAGGTGGCAGGAGGCTGTGGGGATGGGGGAGGGCTGGCTGCAGACAGGGCGGGTCTGCACTGGGGAGGGCAGTGGCTGTGCTGGTGAGGAGTCATGCCAGGCTGTGTCATGCCAGGCTGTGAAAAGGCGATGGCGGGAGGACAAAAGTGCAGCTTTCCGAAATTCACGCTGTGGCAAGGTGTTAGATGGGAGAAGGCAGAGCTGGGAAGATCCAGGAGTCTGGTTGTCAGGTAAAATACAGGTTGCCCAGTTAAATCTGAATTTCACACAAACAATGGATCCTTTTTTTAGTGTATGTCCCACACATTGCTTACTATGTGTCTCATGTAATATTCGGATATTCTTATAATTTAAAAAGTATTCATTGCTCACCTCAAATTTACATTCTATGAGGCATCCTGTGTTTTCTTTATTAAATCTGGCAACTGTATCCAGGAAACTCCAGATCTGCTGGGTTGTCCCTCATCCCCACACTTCTCCTCTCCACTCCTTCCTGGTCCCTGTCCCTCCTCCTCCTCCTCCTCCTCCTCCTCCTCCAGCCCATCCTCTGGGGCTAGAGCCACTCATCAGTGCCTGAGAACTGCGGAGTGCAGGCCCCAGAGAACCACATGTGGAACCAGAGCTGAGTCTGCCGAAGTGCCCAGGTTGGCCCCCAGATTCTGGGGCTGTGCAGAGAAAGAGGAGGAGGCCTGTGATGGCCAGGGAACCCAGGTCTTGGCTTGGGAGTGGTGGACGGAGAAGGGACAGAGTGGAGGAGCGGCAGGAAGCGCATGTCAACACTTTTCCAAGTTGAGGACAGGCTTTCTAGAACCGTGAAGGGCTTGAGGACTCAGGGTGGGCTCCCTAGAGTAGTCAAGATCTTGCACTGCCGTCCCCTCCACTCTGGCAGCTGCCAGAAACCCATGGTCCTTCAGCGCCATAGAGTTGACCCAGCAGCTCATTTCTCTTTGGGTGTGGAGAAACAAAAAGACAAGGTACAGCCCTCCACCATCGGTATTTCCCCTTATGAATTATAGCAGTATATGTAAAAATAAGAGAGAATCAGTAACATTTGCTCTTTAAGTCTCAAATGCTATGTCCATGAGAAGAAAACTGCCAGCAGTCCAGGAAGCTTAGGGGGCATCTAGGCTCAGCCAGGCTGAGCCTCCAGATGCATCCCCTCTGGGCACAGGGGGCGCTGTCCCTGCAGGTGCAGCCTGGGTTTTCAAAAGCATTTCCTCCGAGTCTGCCCCAAGTCCGAACCGCTTAAGCCTATGTCAGTTCTCCCAGACCAAGATTGCTTTCCTGCTTTTTATTGAAAACACCCTCTGTACGCTGCTGCAGTGCCTCTTTTTTTCTGTTCTTAAACTCCTAATGGTAAACACCTGTCCTTGAAAAAGAACAGGCCCCCACAGGCCCAGCCAGCGGCTCCTTCTTGAGCCCCTTGAGTACCCTGGCTCACTTCTGCAGTAGTTTTTTGCTACTCCCCCAGAGACCTGCCCTGTGAAGCCTAGCTCCACTGTGAACACTGTGAGCTTCCGTGACCTCTTGTGTGAAATGGGGGTGTTAGTAGCCACCCATGAGGTGACCTATAGTAGAGGCTTGTCCTGAGCAGTTTCTGCTGAAGTACTACAGTTCCCATTGCCATAAATGTAGTCCTGTGTTAAAGCAGGTTCCCCCTTTAGGCTGTACTCACTCTTGATAAGTGTTAACATAACTGTTAGCGAATCAGAACCTTCCAGAGGCCTTCATGAGGGTGTGTGCAGCACGGATGGTTCCTGTGTTGGAAGAAGGGCTGTAGGCAGAGGACACACACCAGGAGGGCATCCCATCTCGGAGGCTTCCCGCAGGATCTGGGAGGCAGGAGCTCCTGGAAGGTCGAATGAGAATGAGGCAGAGGTCTGGAGGAAGAGGGAAAGTCCTGGGGGCCATGAACACGGGAGGTGGTGCCCAGGGACCTGTTCACAGGGGTCTCCAATCTGTGAAAAGACACTTCTTACCCTGACTGCTAGCCAGTTAACAAAACTATATAAGGAGGGACTAGTCCCCTAGTTCTAGAAGCCCCAGGCTTCTAAAGACCTTGAAAGTTCTGGAAAGCTGGGCTTCGTTGCTCCCCCAGAACTTCCCAAGGCCTGCCGCACCTAGTGGCGCCTATCTGTCCTGCACTCCACCCCTCAGATAGCTCCTCACAGGGCCCTTTTCTCTTCCTCCTTCCTCTCTCTTCTTTGCTTGTTTTCTTTTCTGCAAATAGAGCCAGGCAGCCTAGGTGTAAAGGTAGAGTCTGTACCCATGGTGCCAGCGTGCAAGTGGAGAGATAAGGGGTGCAGCTCTGTCCCAGCAGACAAGGGCTTTAGTATGACCACCTCCTGTAGTCTGGGGGAGAGCAGCATGAAGACTTCTGCAACCTGCTCTAATCTGCCAGGACTCGACTCTAACCATCAGACATACAGGTCGGCAGAGAAGGATGGGCAGGGGGGACCGTAGGAGTTGGAAGGATGCTTGGAGGCTAATCTCCAATTGTGCTTAATCCTTAGTCTTTCCCATTTAATTTGGTATGTAGATTCCTACAGATATTGGTATGGTTACCCTGGACCTGGCTCTGACTAATTAGGCCAGCACTCGTGTGTGTACCCATGTGTCTACACACGTGCAAAAGTGAGATTTGTGCACACAACTCTCTGCCCCATCGCCGATGGTACATGGCTGCATAAGCAAACTGAGCAAAGCAGGAAAGAGACAAGAGGCAGATGGGGGGTGGCAGCGTTTAGGGTTGGGGACAAAAAAATGGAGAAAGAGCCACCAGGTGGGGAGAGAGAGGAATGCGTCCCTTGAAGCGAAGCTGTAGGCAATACAAGGTACAGTCAAGAAAACAGCTTCCGTTTCATTTGGGTCTGGGCCGAGGTACATCTGTCCAGTGGCCATTTGGGGCCCGGCACTCCAACCAACTGAGGCACATCCCAGGGATAGCCAGGTATCTCACCAAGACGAGTTTCACATATTTTGCAGGAACTAAGTCTGTTTTACAGGGGAAAGACCTCTGAAGTTGAGTGAATTAAAGGAAGTGTTAGATGAAACAAAGTTATAAAGATGTATTTGCTGGAGAACTTGGAGAGGGGATTTTGTTTAATGTTCCTTGATCTGGCCCAGACGGGCTTGGCTCCAAGCCTACAAGCTCCTTCCTCAAAAGCCAGGTAGGGGCAATTTGGAAAATACTGATGTAAAGTATGATCTCTGTGAGGGGATGCATTAGAAATTCCCAAAACTTGACTTCCGAACTCACTTTGGGGATGTAGCCAGTCCGTATCTGGGGGATTTCCTGTTGACTGCGAACCACCCCAGTCAGATTTGTCTGGGAAGGTCCGGAGGAGTGAGGGTGCAGAAAGCAGTTCTGCAGGCCCTGAGTACATAAGGCTCTCGGCTATTATTTTGAACAGCGCTGTTTTACCAACAGTGTTAATGTGTACTATTACTGACGTATTTAAGGGTTGCGGGACACACCCGTCGGTGCATGCTTAGTCCAGGAAAAGAGCCTCTACTTCCAGGGCGTGGAATTTTACACGCGTGGAAGGGGCTGCCTACAGCCCCTGGGGGCGAGGTGGTGGGTGAATGCCAGTGGTTCGGATTTACCCGCCTCGGCCGTGCAGCCTCGGGCAGGGCCGGGCCGGGAGTGGGGCCGAGGGGCTGCGAGGACCCAGCCCCTGGCGCTCCGCTCTAGGCAGGGCGCGCCGGCGCGGGGGCGGCCGGGCACGGCCCGCGTGGAGGTGCCTTCTCCGAGGTGCCTCCCCTCCCGCCCCCTCGCACTCCTCTCTCTCCCCAGGCCGGCACCCTGTGCCCTCCCGCTGCCAGGCCCCCTCCTGTCAGGGAGGACAGTGTCCAATAAACTCCACCCGCAGGTGTGTCCGCCCTCTCCCAAGGAGGGGGCCG